TTTGCACTGCTAACAGAACTGCAAGTGCCTCTCTCTCGGTCGCGGAATAGTTTCTTTGTGTTTGATTTAAAGTTCGGCTAAAAAATGCCACTGGCTGCTGATTTTGCGAAAGTACCGCTCCTACCGCATAATCCGAAGCATCCGCTGAAATTTCTAAATTTTCATCCTTTTCAGGAAATTTCAACACAGGGGCTTGCGTTAATGCTTGTTTTAATTTTTCGAAAGCACTATTGGCTTCGGCCGTCCACGAGAATCTTGCCTTTTTCCTTTTTAATTTTAACAATGGCTCAGCGATAGCCGCAAAATCTTTTATAAAGGACCTATAATATGAACAAAGTCCTAGAAAAGAAGAGAGCTTCTTTTGCCGTGTTTGGAGTCGGATACTTTTGTACAGCGATTATTTTTTGATTCATCTGTCTCGATCCCTTTTTGCGATATTTTGTAACCTAAATATTTTAATTCAGGGGCTGCAAATTTGCATTTTTCGACATTAACTTTTTAGACCGGCCTCATTTAATAAAGAAAACACCTGTCTTAAATCCTGTACATGTTGGTCTAGATTATCACTAGTAATAATGATATCGTCTAAATAGATAAATGTGGACTTTCCGAGAACAGGTCTTAACACAATGTCCATGCATCGCTGAAATGTTGCTGGGGCGCCTGAAAGGCCAAACGGCATTCGCAAAAATGCATAAGTGCCAGACTTGGTTATAAAAGCAGTCTTAGGCACGTCCTCAGGCCTGATCCCTATTTGAAAATAACCATTCGTTAAGTCTAAAGTTGTCATAAATTTGGTTGATTTTATGTTCCTTAAATTTTCTTCTATAATCGGTAACGGATATACCGGATATTTCGTTATGGAATTTAATTTACGGTAATCAATAGCGAATCTCCACCTTTTTGGATGCTCCAAAGGATAATCATTATTTTTCTTACATAAAACCACCGGACTAGCATAACTACTTGAGATAGGCGTTACGATCTTTTTACGTAGCATATCGGTAATATGCCATTCTATAATTTTTTCCTTATTCTTATCATACCGGTATGGTTTTTTTTGGACGAACCGGCAATGCATCTCCGGTGTCAATACTATGGTTAGTAACCTGGGTAAATCCTGGAATATCACTAAATAAGGAAGCAAATTCACTTACCACTTGTCGGATTCTATCTTGCTCGTCATTAGGCAGGTGGTCGAGATTTACCCTTGGCGGTTCAACCTTTTCTTACACGCACTGGTTTCATCGTCAGCTTAAGAGACGCTTCATTAAAATCCAGTGTAGCTTGTGCGTCTGAAAGAAAGTCTATTCCTAGTATTAAGTGTGCTTGCAAATTCTTTACTATAAAAAACATCACCTTTACTTGTTCGTCCTTGATACGGATGTACAAAGGTTCTTTACCTACGCACTTACATTGTTCTCCTTGCGCCGCTAATACTGTTGTATTATCCGCATTATATATGCGGTATTTGCGAAAATACTTTCTAAAAAAGACTTCTGCCACACAGGAACACTGCGCGCCGGTATCCAGGAGTGCGGTGGCCGGGATATTATTTACCAAGACTTCAATCTTCGGAAGAGTTAAATTTTTCACCATTACTGTATTTAACTTGTAGGAAGAGGGGTTTTCGTGGCCTTCGGATTTCCGCACCCTCTCGTCAGCAGAAATCCGTTTTAGTTTAAATTATTTTTTCTTTCGGTGCTTTCCTTCTTTTCTCCACTGGCCTTGAGACTTTTTTCCTGGGTTGCTATTGAACTGTCGACGTTCGCCGGCTGTTTTGAATGCTCGGGTTTCCTTGCCCACTGATTCGCTTTTTCTCCGTAGCCATGTGCTTGAGTTTGCTGTAGTCTTGGCGTACCAAATTGGTTTCGCTGTTGATATTGGCGTCTTCTTTCGACGTCCGCCGTTCTTCTACTTTCAAACTGGATTGCTAGCTCAAATAATTTTTCCAGTGTAGTCGGATTTCTCAATTCAATAAAGTCTTGCACTTGGGGTAGTAACCTCGGCAAAATCACTTGAATTATTTCAGGATCCGGACGGTTTCCATACAAGAGCTTGAAAACGTGAATTTTTCTTAAAATAAACCTGGAGAGGTTTTCCATTCTTTGTTGATATATACTGAAAAGTTCTGTTTCTAATTTCGCACGATCCCTTACAACAGGGAAGGCTTTTAGTAGGGCAGTCTTGAAATTTTCGTAGGTATAGGTGGGACTTCCTGCTTGACCCAAGAGACTTCTGCCGATACATTTGAACCAGTTAAGCGCTTGGCCCCTCAAAGCGCTGGTAGCTAAGGTAACTTTTTGAAACTCGTGCACGGGGGTAGAGCATGAAGTGGTCATCCAATTTTTCCAAAAAACTGGTTACCTGTGAGTTTCCATTAAACGTTGCTTCTGGTTTCATCGAAGCGCGCATGGTCTGGACAATATACCCAAATCCTTCCAGGGCGGCAGCTGGCATTTCTGGATTCTGAGCTGTTTCTGCAGGCAGCACAGGTTCTTCTTGAAACTCGGCCATGGTTATTCTTCTTCGTCGGGCGCCACTATCAGGTTCAATGTTTCTTCTAACCTTCTTCGGAAACATACAATGACCTGACTAGAACAGAGAGCTTACTAAAGCTATGTTCACTAATTGTAGTAAGTAGACAGGATACAGACGAAGGGTATACAAAACCCTTTATTTTTTTTCTTTATATACAATGACTTCCGTACTTCGGAATACAATGACCCTCCACTCGGGGTCTAACTTAAAAGATATCAAAATAAAACTAAACTCTAATTTAACTTTAGAATAAGATTGGCCTTATAATAACAGAAGCGTATGTAGCACAGAGACTGTGAACACTACAATACTTTTAATTTATCAAGAGGATTAAAACCTCTGGCCTGGAAGGCAAAGTAGCAACTGCGTAACTTCTAAGGTAAGCGGCCTGCTTCGAACTCACGGCTTCCTCTCCTCTGCTTGGCAAAAAGGCCACACTTAAATACTTGGCGTTCGCCAGACAACTTTGCATAAACTCCTTCACGCTTATAATTCTGGCCGGAAGTAGAAAATAAGAAGTGATAGTAAAGATTTAAAATAAAATAAACGTTAGTAAAACTTAAGATCCTTACAGCCTGACGTCATAAACGGCAACCAATAAGAACAGGGGTGGTGGCTGGGGCCAGGCGCTTGTGCGGATAACTAGACCGCGTATTTCCAAACCCTACCCCACTTTTCGAATTTTTGACGTCATGAACAAATCGACTAGTTTCGCCTGGATGGTAATTCTTGAGCATGTGCTGAAGGGCGAGAAGTAACATAAACAGAACTTTGGCTTGCATTTGTAAACAGTATTAAGTATATTGTCTGAAAGTGCATTCGTTTATGTAATTGCATAATTTTATTGTTTCTGGAATAAGAAAACTTGGGTTTTCATCCGCAGAGAACCCGCTGGCGCCGTTCCATTTTTACTCGCCAAGCTCGTGTTTCATCGACGCTGAGGCGAGCCGTAAACGTGATTTTTAGTGCATGTAAATTCTTGTTAGCAGACTAAACAATATATTAAGCATATGGTAGTAAAAATTCACAGATAATAAGCATGTAGATGTAAAACTAACAGGTTAAACGTGATATACGGAAGTAAACTGGTATTAAATTTAAACAGAAATTAATTATTATGAATTATGCTGATTATGGTACTTCTCATTTTAACCTATGCCATTTGACATAAAATCAACCTGCTTCTTACTAAACCGCTAGCCTGACCAAGTATGTGACATTATGAGACATAAAAAAAAAAAAGTTACATAAAGTTAGTAAAATGTAAATGTCACTTATTTCAAATATGCCCAACTATTATAAGTGTAAAATATTTAATGCTACTTGATCAATTTCTTAAAGTTTATTTCATTTTCAAACTTATTAATAATTATGTCAATTCATGTTTAGTAATAATACATACTACTTATGGATCTATTTTATTTTTAGGATGGTATTACAAATGTGAAATGCAGGCATCGCTAATATTTTTAATTGAATTTATTCAGTTCGCGTTTACTCATAGGTCCTGAATTTTTTTTCATTAATGGTCCTTAATTTCTGTGTGCAGAAATGTGTATGAACTCTGATTAACAGTTTTCAGGTAATTGCGCACTCCTCAACATTTGTTTCTCATCAGAGGAAGAAGGGGAAGGGATTAAAAAAAAAAAAAAAAAAAAAAAAAAAGCTTCTGATCAGAAGTGTTTTGCTTTGAAAACTATGAGTGCTCTTAAGCTAGCTGAGAGCGTCTGCAAAACAAATGAATAGAAAAAAGAAAAAGATGGGGGGCTCAGTTACATGGAGAGAAATGTTTGGTGTAGCGCTCAAGGAGGTTAGAATTCTACGCTAGGGTGCCTGGTTCCAAGACCCTACACCCTACCCAAGGTACTAGATACCTACACCAACTAGATATCTAGTTGGCCTTGCCCTACCCCACATCCAAGAATAGTGTTCTTTAGGAATAAAAATTTAAAGTCTAGTTAAGAAGCTAACTTACACTAAGACAGAAAAGTAAAAAAAATAAATAAATAAATAAATAAATAAAATTTTATGAAACATGCTTTTTCCTTGAACTATGACTTAATCTAATTGTTCATGTCTATTGCACTATCTAAGATTCAATGGACAAATACCTATTTATGTAATATATTGATGCATGCAGATAGCCCTCCTGGGCTTATCATACTCCAGATAAAGCCAAATAATCTATAGTGTTAAATAAATACCTTTCATTACTTAATAAAAAATTTAATCACTTAATCTTCGTTAATTTATTTAAATGAATTGAATGATTGAAGATATTGATTAGTTATAATATTGTATTCCTACACGCATTTTGTAATCATATGGCTTTCAGTTTACTGCAAAATAAATTTTGGTTAGGTGTTATATTTTTTAAACAATCTTTCCCCCTCCTCTCTTTTCTTTTTTGTTTTACCATTTGATCAATTTAAATAATCGTAATCGTGTATGATGTCATTCTCTTCCATGATGAATGGCGGCCATATTAGCGGTTGAGTTATTTGAGCATATATAAAGTAGTAATCAATGAATTTATTTTGGAAGTTTTATTGTTAATTAAACATAAAAAATCATTGCATGCACAATCTCCGTAACTCATAGGTCTTTAGAGATTAATAAATTTTCTAATATGGAAGAAAAAAGTGCGTTGAAGGAATTAGACTCTTGGATAGAGCAACTGAACGAATGCAAGCAGTTGACAGAAAACCAAGTGAAAACTTTATGTGAAAAGGTATTTATGCTGCTGTTCAAGAGTAAAATTTGCGGCACAACTATAGTATTAGTCCTTTTTGTACTCTTTATCGGCTATTGGATTATTACTATTATTAATATCTAATCAATTGCTTTTTTAATTTTAGATATATTTAGGAAAAAGTATGTTTTCCTTTATAGCCTTCCTAAAATAGCGTTGCCTGACCAAAGCTTAGAAAGAATGAATAAAAAATATCAATGCAAGAAAATCGTACTTTTTATGTATTGTGAATAGAAACACTCAGGTATCACATGTTGGTGAATGTATTATAGCTATTTAAACGGTTTTTTGTAAGTTTATTTTTTTAATGGCTGTTGAGTGTGTAAATGAATTATAGGACGTATAGTTTTGGTTTTGTTGTGTATTTAGGTAAACAATTTGGATTCATCTGACAGGTTTGATAATCTGAAATTAGTATTTTTATTCTACATTGCATTTGCGCGAAATATGCTTGTTAATCCTTAAGGTTTCTGCAGTTCTCGCTTTTTCTTATTGAGTTCCGTGGAGTTTTTTTAAATAAAATTTCCATTGGAAATGGTTTTATTCTCCAACGTTTTAAAAATATTCTTTGTGTTCAGTTGAAATTGGTTTCACCAGTATAAGCAAAATAATTGCTTAAGTATTAATTTGTAAAGTTTTACTTCTTGAGAGACAAAATAAGTTGTTTCCATCTAAGCTAAAGAACAGTGTAACAAATGAAGAAGCTTAAAAACAGTGTTTTAAACTAGAAATTCTTTGTAACTCGTCTGTTCGTCTGGAGTTTCTTTAAGCACTGGTTCTAGAATGTTATTCATTGTAGTATAATTATTATAAGTACTTGCAATGCAATTAGTGATACCGGTTAAACTGAAGCAGCAGGGGGCATGAGCAAGTTTGTTGTAGTGAAGCAAGAAAAACAGTGTGACATGTCCAAGAGGAAAGTTTGACAAAAACTGAATTTTATTTTGTTTTGATTGGTTGCTTGAGTTATAACTTGTAAAATTTAAAATTATAGTTGGCTGAAGTGTTATTTAAGAATTGTACAACATTCGTTAATTTTGAAGTTGCGCAGTTTTGAGAGAATCACTGTAAATAGTTGCTACTTTTAGGTCAGAAAAGACTAGCAGTCTAATTAAAATGCAGATTCAAGCGACTGTTGCAAATTTAAATTAATGTTGGTTTATATATTTTTTATCTTGGATTTCTAGGAGAAAAAGATTTAGTGAAAAGCCTTTTGTAGTTAGAAAAGTAGTTTTGTAGTTTGTAGAGATTAGTTAGAAAAGCCTTTTGTAGAAAATAAACTTTAATCATTTTCAAGAGACACTTGTAAGCATGGCTATTACAATAAATCTTTTATGTCTTGATAAAACATTTTGTTAACATTCTTGATGCATCGCTGATAAATTGGGACAGGAAATGAGTTTGTTTTTGAATAACTTTTACATTTTTAGATGTGTAAAAGATTCAACAGCTGCAGTCTAGCTAACCAGAAAAGAGAGTGAGTAAGGAAGATGAAAGGCCCAATTCAGAGTGATTTGGTTTGATTTAGCTTTATTTTGATTTGAAGTTTTTAAAATTACTATTGTCTGAAATGTTATGTATCTTACTCATTAGTATTATGAAAGAATCATATGATGGATTGATTTTAAAATCATGCAATTCCAAGAAATTATTATAAGCACTCATTTTTAGGACAGAAAAGAGAATTTTCCACAAAGGATCCATTGGCGGCGGTGCGTATTTATTCGCCAATGGCTAATCGGCTATGATTTTAGCGGTGTATAGTTAAGTTGCAAGTTATTTAGACCATGGAAGCCATTATTTTAGTAGTGTCCAGTCAGCTTATAAGATATTTAGCATATAGAAGTGAAATAAATAGGTTAAGCATGACATTTTAGCGGTGTATAGGTAAGTTGCAAGATATTTAGCATATGGAAGCAGGAAAAGTTATAAAATCAACTGGTTACACATGATAAAGCAAGTGCATATAGTAATACTTAGGCTTATCATACTTCACATCTCTTTTAGTATGATCCTGTAACTTTTTTTTCCCAAAAAACTATGCTGGTAAAGAAATTGCTGGAGACCTGTTATACTACAGGAAAACAATTCTTGTGTTTTATGTGCAGAAAATTCAGTTTGATGCTAACACAATGAAAAATGTTGGCTCACATCAATAATAATTTACAATAAGGACTTACAACAATGGAAGTAAAGTCTTTTCTTAAGTCTGTATTGATCATATTATTATTCCCTTATATTTGGTCTTCCGGAAAGTTCTGTCCTTTTCTATGACAAAAATTTTGGATACGTAAGCGCATGTTTATTTGGTGCAAGTTCAGCACTCTATTTTTATCGCTTCATGTATATATACTGACGTAGCAAATTAACTTTAAAAAAATGATTCAAGTCAGTCTTCGTAAGTGTGAAGCGATAGTGTACCCATGGTTACTGATAAAGTTCATTTATGTCACTGTATTTTATATGAATTTCAACAAGAAAGAAATACAGTCAAAAGTCGTTAATTCGGACACCCATAATTCGGAATGATCTATAATCCGGACATCAAAACTAAAAACTTTCTGCGCATGCGCCACGTTGACACATGCGCAGAGGCGTTCACGCGTGCGCGTAAGACCTTTTACGACTGCGTATATGAGTGTGCGTAAGTGCAGAATACGTTTTCGCGTGCGCATTTTATGTATAATGGACGTATAAGCTAAAATTATCTAATTATCTATTTCAGTTAATGTTGATGATTGCGTTGTTCCTTAATTTTCGAATTGCATCCGGCTTATTATTTTTTGCAGACTGTAAGAGCAATTTTATAAAAGTAAGCTTAAACTTTCGATTATATCAAATAGAATTTCCGATATATATTTGTTAATATGTAAAGGATCTAAAGCGAAAGTATGTTTTGAAATCCGAAATCTGTTTATCAATTTCACGCTGCTCGGCGGCAGGCGCCTAATGAATTGGAAGTTGATTTGTCAGCACTATCCTTATCTTCAGCGCAGATGTTTTTATTTTATTTGGCTTATAATTCCTTACCAAATGTAGTATTTCATCTCGATATGCTCCGTCTTTGATATGATTTAAAACAAGTTCCTCATCATTATAATTCGCTTCCGATAGCGAAGAAAAGTGACAGAGGTTATTGAAAACAAAAAAAATTTCAATTGACAAATTAGTCGGTGTTCTTGACACAGCAATTATAGGACTTAAACGGCGGAACTTTGTAACTGAACAAGAAATTATGTCTGTTTAATAGAATTAAAGAGAAAGTATTATCACATGAAACGAAGCAAAAGTTAAACAACTTACATTGAAAGAAATGTTTTTAATAAAGTAAACAAATAATATTAAGCTTTTTCTTTTTGCAAATTTTGATACCCTTTAGATCATAATTGTTCTTTATTTCATAAATTACGGTTTCATATTTTTAATTTTAGAATTTCTGCATGCCATCTTACGAGATTTAAACTGATGGTCTATAATCCGGAAAAATCGATAAGCCGGAATCGCCGAAGTCCCGACGAGTCCGGATTAACGACTTTTGACTGTACTACAGAAGCAGGTAGAAATTTATTGAAAGTGTTTGGTGAAGGTGCAGTTTCTGATAGGATGTGCAGAAGATGGTTTGAAAAATTTGAAAGAGGTGATTTCGACCTCTGATAAGCCATGTTCTGGGTGAGCATCTTTGATTGACGATGATGTTGTTGAGACCATATTGGAGCAAGATCCTTTTCTGACAACATCGGAGATGGCAGAAAGGCTTTATTTAGCTCAGCAAACCATTTCAGGCGATATTCAGAAGATAGGACTAGTGTGGAAATATTCAAGATGGGTGCCAGATGAATCAAGTCGGAAGAATTTGGATGATCGAGTAGTCATATGCACATCTCTGCTCAATCGGAACAAAATTGAGCCCTTCTTGAACTGGATAACTGGGGATGAAAAGTGGATTACCTACGAAAACATCGTAAGGAAAAAGGCATATTGAGAGCCCGGAAAACCTAGCCCTTCCACTTCTAAACCAAATTTGACTCTGAATAAAAGAAGGCTGTGTATATGATGGGACATTCGAGGACCAATACATTATGAGCTTTAAAACCGAATGAAAAGCTCATTTCATTGAAGTATTGTCAGTAACTGGATAATTTAAAGACAGCAGTCCAAGAAAAGAAACTACCAGTGTTCAATAGGAAGGATACCGTACTGCATCATTATAATGCCAGGCCACATGCTGCTTTGGGGACTTGTCAAAAAACTGCAGAACTAGGTTAGGAAGTTCTATCGTATCCACCATTTTTCCCGGACTTAGCACCTCCGACAATCACTTTTTGTCCTTATAAAATTTTTTGAAAGACAAAACATTCAAAAATGAAGGATATCAAAAAAAGCACTGGTTTGGTTTTTCGCATCAAAAGATACAACATTTTTCAAAAATGAACTATACAAATTGCCCTCATGCTGGCAAGAAGTCATTAATAATAATGGCAATTAAATTATTTAATAAAGTCTATTGACAGTAAGAAAAATTTGTTTTTGTGTTATTCCAAAAACGGACAGAACTTTCCGGTAGACCAAATATAAACAAAGTTGAGAAAAGGAAACATAGTTGCTGCTTCACTTTAGTATTTATGTTAAATTCAAAGTTTTGTAAATGTATATATAACAAATATTTTCAATAACACGTTAAAAACACTTAAAAAATAAATATCAAAATAATGAAACAAGCATGAATGCCAAAGTGATAACTGGATGTCGTGCCATAATCAGTTCAAATTATTTGTATTGACATGGATTTCACTTTGGAAAGAAGAAAGGCCCATCTCTGAGAAGATGTTTTGAAACTTACAAGAAATGATGTTCTGCAAATTTACCATAACCCTGTAAGGACAGGCATTTTAGGTTTCTAACCTTGAGTTTGATGTATTCTGCCTGACTGTTATTTTACTCATCAACTGTTAGGAAGGGGGAAGAGGGAAAGCATAAACAGAGATGGGCTCTTTAAATCCCTGCATGCGAATTTGTGCTCATATAAAACATTTGTGTGCTAATATAAACATTCGCATGTCTTATTTATATCCAATTCCCCTTTTTTTCTATTTTTTCCCTCTACTATATACTGTCTTATAGGGTTACTATGTGGAGTTCTATACGTTTTGCATTACCTTCAGGTATATTTCCATTTCTTCTCTTTTTATTTTGGAAAGCGTCCCCTCCAGTCTATTATGGTGGGAAGGTGTTATTTATCAGAGGAAGAATACTCTTGTATGGTTAATGAACCATTTACTAATGCAGATGAGAGTGATGATTCATTTTCTAAAGAGTTGGTAAGTGATACTTAGTGCTTCAAGAGTTACCACACTCAGTCTTCATTTTAAATTTTGTTACTTCTTACTTCAAATAGTCTTCATTGTGTTGTTTTATTAATTTTAAACTTTAATGATAGATTTTATCAATTAAAACTTTGGAATAATTTGAATAGCGCTTCCAAAAATTATTTTACAAGATAAGCAATTTTCTAAGTATATTTTCATGTAAAAATAAAGAAAAAAAATATTAAGTGCTAATTTCATAGACTCCAACTACTACGGATTCTCCGTAGTTTCTACGGAAATTCATGAAAAACTACGAGCTACGAAAAGTATGGAAAAAACTACGGATTTTACAGAAACAAGAGCAGGAGAACCAGTACGCAAAATGGAACCAACTAATTCATCTGATGATTGGCTGAATACTCGTGTTATCATATATCACGTGTTGAGTGCGTTCCTAGTTTTGAAGAATTAGCCAATCGTAGATCAGTAACTCCAACCGTTAACGACTTTGTCTCCCAGGTTCCTCGCTGATGCGTGTTTAGGCTGCATTCGGCTGCATTGTGTAGTTTACGGCGAGAGCTTAACGTGTGTCTTGTGAACTGTGAATCAGGTGAAAGATTTTTAATCATAATGCTGCCTCGAACGAAGAAGCCAAAACTATCAAAGCAGAAGTTTAAAGATTCATATTCTTCAGAATTTCCATGCATTAAAGTGTCCGAAATTTCTGTGAATCACGCACACTGCAGTGTATGCAACAAAGACCTCTCAGTTGCTCATGGCGGAAAAGATGACTGTAAACGGCATGTGTTTTCTCAAAAGCATATAGAACTTGGCACCGTAAAATCTAAAGAAATAACAAATTTCTTAATAAAAGATGATGAAACAGATCCTATAAAAGCCGAATGCTATTTTGTTCGTTTTTTAATTGAACATAATCTACCGCTTTCTGTTTCAGATCATTCCAAAGAGCTTTTCAAAGCAATGTTTCCGGATTCTGCCATAGCAAAAAAATTTAGCTGCGGTCATACCAAAACTGCTGCTGTTGTGAAAACGCTTGCAGAAAATACTGTTGCTGATATTATAAAATCAGTGTGCAGTACATAATTTTCTCTAAGTACTGATGGAAGTAATGATAACAATGATAACAAACTGTACCCATTGGTTATAACATACTACAGTAAAGAAAAGGGAGTGATAATTACTTCATTGAT